TCTCCAGAACCATGATTTTGTGGGCTTTTGTGCTTGGTGCCTCAAGAGTTTCTTGAATCACCATCCTGTTAAATACATCCCTTTAGTGCTGGCCAATCGGGCGAGTAGATCGAATTTAACATTTTCTTCTTGGGGGATATGTTCCACCTTAACCCTTATGAATCCCTTAAGGTTGGATGATCCATTACTCCTAGTCATGATAGGATCCATTACTCTAATAACGCGTTTCATATTTTGGGCAATTACCACTATCGCTAGAGCTAACCTTTTAATCTTCTGATAACGGGTCTCATACCCTTTAAAAACTTTACTAATAAAGTAGATCGGTTTCTCACCTTCATCGCCGTCTTGAACCAATATGGAACTCATGGACTTGTTTGAGACCGCCATGTATAAGATAAGAGGAGAATTTTGTCTTGGGCGGACCAAGATGGGCGGAGTTGATAGGAAGAGCTTCAACTCCTGGAATGCCATTTTGCATTCTTCCGTCCATTTGAACTCTGTCTACTTTTATATAGTCGCGAGGAAATGTATATTGAAGGTGTGAGAAACACAAGAAAGGGTATTTGAATTGGGTTGCACCAAATATAATCTTTTCGTAACTTAAACACCCAGCTTAACAAGTGAATAAAAATAAATGAACACAATTATTTTTATCCTAATTCTCTATTAACTAAGTTACTCCAGTCCACCCCGCAAGGTGATTTTCCTTATACACAAGGACTTAATCCACTATAATCAACCTGATTACAGACAACCACAATAAGTCTGATCAACCTTGTTGGCAACCCAACAAGTCTGACGATCCTTATTGCAAAACCACTATGACCCCATCCAAAGTCTTCTTGAGAATCCAGACTCACAAATTCTCTCAAGGAACCTTATCAACAACCATTGATTTACAAATATGTGTATACAAATATGCTTCTAATAAATAAGATTAGACAATGTTTAAGTACAACAACACAAAAGTTTCAATAGCAAGATACTAACAAAAGCTCCTTGCTAAAATACAAAACTATACCACCAATATCTCATAAGAGTTGTGCAGCGCTTTAGCGTAGTTTTGTATAACTGATTTGTTGATTTCAAATTATTTAAATTCCTCCTTTTATAGATGAAAAAGAGAACTGTTGAATGGTAGAATAGGAAACACAAAACCAATTTTTTTTCCCAACGGTCATGGAGACACTGGTAGACAATAGTATAAAAAGGATTGTCCTTACGCCAACCTATATAGTAGAGGTCAGAGTGTACTTTGTACTTTTATACTCACCATCACACGCAATCCCTAGTCTTGATCTTATCTTCTATATCTTCAGAGGCTTTTAATTTGTATGTGGATGAAGAATGTTGTATAAGGACCATACCTTTAGTCTTTGAGTCTTCAGAACTTGTTCAGAGAACTCGTGTCTTCAAAGTATGCAGCACTTGGTCTTCAGAAGTAATGTCTTTCGATCTTCATAACTCGTTCGACAGAACCTTGTCTTCAGCATCTTCAGAACTTGAAACAACAGAAGTAAAGCTTTAGAAGGCCTCCAAAGCTTCCTTTCATAAGTCACGATCAGAAGCTCTTTTACTAACGTTCCTTAGAACCATTGCACAATAAGCATTCCAGAACCTTGACTTAACTCGTAACACACCGAAGGTATTCTTCCATAGTGTTGAGTTCAGAACCTGATGACGTCACACGCCTTCTTACAATATTCATAACATGTTTAGAAAATGCTACATAATAGACAAACAATTAGAGTACACAATTGTTCTCTAAGATACCATGTAAAGTTATCATCAAAACTGAAGGTCAGATGTAGAACCAATCTTGTTATTACATACTGACTTATCACTAACGCATGATAGGAGCATGGATAAGGCAGGTTGTCTCCTAGTCAGCTACTAAACCTCCTTTATCTAAATTGGACTCCTCATGTCAATGATCGCTTGATACTTGTTCAAGTTAGCATCAATTCCCTGATGTGTTAGCATAAAGCCGAGAAACTTAATGGTATGCACCCTAAAGATGCACTTGTCGTGATTGAGCATCATATTAAATTTTCTCACTTATTTGAATTTCTCCTCCAAATCTTCCACATGATCTATCTCCTCTTGGACTTTGATCACCATATTATCCACATATACCACTAAATTCCTCCATATTTGTGATGAAAATACCATGTCCATTAATCGCTAATATGTGGCCCCGCCGTTTTTGAGACCAAATGGCATTACTTCGTAATGGTAACTGCTCTTAGTAGTCATGAATGTCGTCATGAGAGCATCTAACGAGATAATCTTTATTTTATTATAGCCCGAGTAGACGTCCATATAGTCAAGTAGTATGAACCCGAATGACCATCGATCAACATGTCAATGTGTGGCGATGGGTAAGGATCATTTTGGCAAGCTTAGTTGAGATCAGTAAAATCTACGCACACGTGCCATTTTCCCGTTTTCTTTTTTACCTTGACGAAATTGGATAACTAGGTAGGATACTTTATCTCCCGAATAAACCCATCCTTCAAAAGCTTCCTAACCTCATCTGTGACAGCCAACCTCATTTCTTTCCCATCTTTTCGCTTTCTCTGCGCCACGACCCTGAGTGTTGGATCAATGGAAAGCTGGTGGAAAAAGACATCTAGGTCGATTCTTGGAATATCAGAAGGTTTCTATGCGAAAAGATCCATGTTGTCTCTCAGTATTTTAATAATATATGTTTCTTCCTTTTGTGATAACTTGAAGGCTATTTTCGTGGTTTGAAACTCTTCTCCCATGATTCGTACCTTTTTCTATTCTCTAATGGGTGTTAGACTATCAGTTGTCGGGTCCTCTTGAGGGTCGAGATCAACCAGGTTCACCTTCTTGGAAGACAGATTCTCTGTGTTTAACTCTCTTCGGGAAGGGATTCTTTTTCATGTTGATCCTCCGACGTCCTTTACATATTACTATAGCTTTCCTGTATGGATAAGTATCTCGATTTCTTTTTTCAATTGATGACAATCTTCCATGTGATGGCCCTTTAAATGGTGGTATCTGCACCAATAACATTCATCTTTTCCCATTACAACCCCTACCGCCCTGGGTCAGGGAGGTTTCGGTAGCAGGTTGAGGTGATGCACTTCACGTAATATATTTGATTGTTTTGCTTTTAGTGGGGTGTAGATCTCAGGAGTGATGTCGTATGGTCTCCGGGAAGGTCTCATCGAAGGCCTATCCATGTACATGTACCTTTGATGAACTTTTCTTAATTTAGCTCTCTCCAACCTAGTTTGGACCTTTCTTTAGCATCTCATAACGTCTTTTCCATATTTCTTTCCTCACCCTTGATGTAACATTCGACCCTATTCATCACCTCGTCTATACTGGCGGCCGGTTTCTGAGCAAGAGACTCATTGAAATGGTCGACTTTCAAGTCATTCTAGAAGGCTCCCACGAATATTTCTTGATTAGGGTGTGAAATCTTTATGGTTTTCTCATTGAATCACGCCATGTATTCACGTAGAGATTCAGAGGGACCATGGCACACATTGAATATAATAGTGGTGGACACCTTTCTATGCTTGCTAGCAATAAAATATTGCACCATCTTCTAGGTTAGGTCTTGATACCCAGTAACCGAGCACTTGGGCAAGCTCATGTACTAGTGCAAGGCCATGTCCTTGAATGTTTCGACCATGAGTACAACCATCTGATTTTTTATGGATATGATATGCTTATGTGGGCCGCTCTTGCCAACAAAGGATGTCAAAGGCGGTGGCTTGAAGTTTTCTAGAACCAAGTTGTCCCATATTGCTTTGCCAATGGCTAAGTGTCTAATAATTTTTCTTCTCAATCTTCATCTGGTTGGCTTTGAGCTAGGAGCGTCTGGACACTTTCTTGCAGGGTTTCATTCTGTTGTCGCAAAGCCTCCACGACTGCCAATAAGTGTGCCATGTTCGGAGGAGGATCCTGATCACACCTACTGGGTGATGACCTAGACATCCTTGAAAAATGGGAGTAGTGGGATTGATGTGCGGCCTGAAAAGGTTTTACCTATATTATACAGCGGACGCTAAATATTCTTAACAAACACTTTTGAACAATATCCTCAAAGTTAATCGAATGAGATCATAATAGTTATATATATTCGAGATTATTGACTTGCCTATATTTTTGTGTCGTTTACTGATGTCCTCCTTCCTCTATGAGAGGTTACATTATATACTAAACATTCTCTCTCGTATTCATGCAACAATAACCTTTCAAATACAACATTCAAACTTTCTTTACACCATATAATATCCTAATCACCCAACTTAGATAAAAATCATTTTCCAACTAAAATAAAAGCAATTTTTTATTATAGTGAAATATTCTATATAACTATCAATTGGAGTGATTTAAGGGAATAATATATGTAATAATCTAGATAAACCAAAATAATATGTTTATGAAAATGAAGCCTTGAAAGCTTTTAATAAATATATATTCAAAAAGAAAGTCATGAGATAAAAAGGCAGCATAGGAAATTCAAAAACAATTGACCAGCCAACAGAATTTGAGGGTTGAAAGAATAAAAAGACATAAATATATACCTCAAACGTTTTTTATTTCATTGCAAATAAATAAAAGAGACCTCATAAATAAAAGAGACCCACATTATTTCAAAACACCTCTCCTTAACTTTTTTTATTTTCCAGATATATTTATAAACAATAAATTTTTTTAAATTTATTAAATAGTTAATATATCTGATATAATATAATAATTAAATATATTATTTATTTAATAAATTTAAAAAGCTCTTTATTACTTATAAATGTATTCCAATGGTGTATTCTCTTAACCTTCGTTGGGTGTAACTACCCCATATACCCGCATACACATTTTCATTTCTGACAACTCATGTATGTAACTCTCACAAGTCACCACCACTATAAATAACCATCAAATAACATTATTATGTGTTCCATTTTCATGTCATCTCTTTCCTTTAACCTTCTTTATTGATTAACTTTTCCAAAATGGCTGAACATAACATGCAGATTTCACTCTCAAGCTCCTCAGACGAGTCCTCAGACCAAGAAACACCATTCACCACCGCCATGAACCCAACAACCGACACAGGTGGTTCATCTCACCAACAAACATCAACTGATTCACCACAACCCTACAGAAAGCCACGTGGCAGACCACCAGGTTCCAAAAACAAACCTAAACCACCTGTTGTAATAACACAAGACAATGAACAAGCCATGAAACCTGCAATCATTGAAGTAGCTGCTGGTACTGATGTTCTTGAAGCTGTTATCCAGTTTGCTGTTCGTCTTGGTTCATGTATCACCATTCTTAGCGGTTCTGGTACTATTGCTGTTGCTACACTCCATTACCCTGTTTGTCAATCTCCTGCTTTCACTCTTCATGGACCTTTTTCTTTGTTGACTTTGACTGGTACTTTTTTCTTCCCACCATCTCCACCACCACCTCCTCCTCCTCCTCTTCCTATTTCTCTCCCTATTGCTTCATCTTCTTCACCAAACCCTAACCCTAACCAGTTAGAACCATCACCACCATCTTCTACTTTTGGTATCACTCTTGCTGGTATTCAGGGACAAATCTTTGGTGGCATAATTGGTGGTAAAGTTATAGCTGGTGGTGATGGTGTTAAGATTGTTGCTTCTTTGTTTAAAAATCCTGAACTTCATAGGGCTACTGGTATTCTCTTGGAACCGGATGATGATGATGTTGTCAATGATGATGATAACGGCGGTGATGGTGATCCTGGTGCTGCTGCTGACAATGTGTCTGGTTTCAATATTCCTAATCCAATGACTATGCATCCTCCACTACATTCTGATCCAAACTTCATGCCATGGAATCACCCTTCTCACCCTCGTCCTCCTAATTTCTGAAAATAAAAATAATGATTATAAATTGCAGTTATAGTCATTGTTCATTGCAAACATTGCTGGTGCAATTATAATAAAAGCTTTTACTTATGGCGTGGTTGCAATTATCATTATAGACTGCAGTTTAGAATTATGATAGAGATTGATCCATAATTGTGTCATCATTTACCATAATTGTGGAAATGGAACTTTTAAGTATAATTAGTGAGTTATTATTATTATTACATTGTATCGCAGAGCTATAATAATATTGCTCTTTTCTAAGTAAAATTATTAACTAGTAAGCATGTTGGTTTTAGTCTTTTCTTCATTATTTATGTATAATGTATCTGTCTTTGGCAGAAGAAAAAATTACATGTCTACACCTTCATGAGTACTAATTAATTTCCTATTTTTTATATATTATATGTTAAATTATATTCTTATTGGATTTAGCTTTTACCAGGGCTCCGACATAACGATATTAATATATATTTATCTGTTATCACGGTTTTACATAAGAATAAATTATGTTTAGTTTATATCGCGATAATCTTAATCAGTGTCGCAATATCTATATCAATTGAAATTGTGTTTTATATAAAATAAATTATGATTAATTCATGTATTGATAATCTTAATCAATTTCACAATATCTATACCGATAAAAATTGCGAAAATGACTTTAGCTGAATTGCTTTTTAAAACCCTGACTTTTATATTACAAATAATTACAGTCAAATGTAATTAATATGTTGAACATAATAAATCTTGATGTGTGTGTGATGGATGGTGGCAATGGCAATCTGAGTTTGTGTGTCAGGAAAATCTAATGGCTAGGGTCTGGTGGTAGTACTTTAGTTTCTTGGGAAGAGGGCCTATATAGTTTTACTATCTCCAATGCCGCTGAACAAGTGAGACAAATTTATGAAAATGAAAAAGAAGAATTAAGCTAGTAACAAAGTACATGATGCTTTGAATGAACAGAAAGGATGAGTGGACTACACAACTTTGTCCAATTGAAACTGCTTTTATCTTTCAGTTTTGTTGTGACATATTGGATCTGGATGGAAATCAAACTCATCCTTTTCTTTTTAAGTTTCTCTTTACCTTTTCTTTGTAGTTATAAATCCTGTCATCATTTTGGTTACAAAGTTATATCATGGATAACCTCCTCTTACAGTATTTGGACCAAGTTGAAACCAGGCCCAGGCTACGGCGAGACATAAGCGATCCGTGTATTTTTTTTTCACTTTTATACATTTAGCGAAATGAACAGTAAATATATTTGACGGTTTGAAAGTCTCACAAAACTTTCTGTTTACTTTGTAACGGTTTGCCATTAGATAAATTCTGAACTTTTGTGACAGTTTAAAACCCCCATTAAATAAATTCTGAATTTTTGTGAAGGTTTGAAACCGTCACAAAATGAACAGTAACAATTTTGTGACAATTTAGAACCACCACTAATTGTTGAAAATGAAAAGAAAAAAAATTAGATCATTGTCTAACTAGGTGAGAGAAGAAACCTTAAAATCATGAATATAACGTGAAGATTGAGTTTGAATTTAGAAAATAAATTTTTTATTATCTAATCTAAATATTTGTGGTTTTCTTAAACAACTTTTATTTATTTATAAAAATTATCTAGCATTTTTCAAAATCCCTTTTCTAAATTACTTTTATTTAATGTTTTTACCAAATTAAACTTTAATTTTATACTCTTTTTTGATGACAAAATTAATTTTTTTTAAATTAATTTTTTATTTTAAGAGACATAATCTTTTTTTTTTAAGTAGAGACATAACATTATTATATATGAATCTTTGTGTTTTCTCTAAAAATCATAGTTTTTTATGTTAAAGAATTAAAAATATCAAATACAAATAATATAAAATATGTTGATTGTTTATGTTGGTGCAAAGTAATGGAATGAGAGATAAAGAATGAACAATGAATGATAACAAAGAGGACTACTTCTTAATATTCAAATAGAGGAATGAATTTTGGGATACAATATTGATAGGCAGGTAACATATTTATACTAAAAAATAGAAAATGCCAAAAGACCCTAATAAAGAGATAATATTGAGAATTGTGGACATTAAATAAATTACATTTCCAATACCATCCCTTAATTTAGATAATCTATCAGAAACTAACAACACCAATTTCATCTCTTAAGCAAAGAAATTGGTTTGTTTTAACTGCCTTCGTCAGAAGATCTGCAAGTTGTTTCTGAGTGCTACAGTGCAGAACTTCTAACACTCCTTTCTGAACTTGATTTCTGAGAAAGTGATACTTCGTCTCAATGTGCTTGCTTCTTCCATGTAGCACTGGATTCTTGGCAAGATCAATTGCAAACTTATTATCAATCACCAGCTTCAGAGGTTCCTCAAACTCAACCTTTAAATCATGCAGGAGATTCAGAAGCCAAACTGCTTGACAAGCAGCTACAGCACCTGCGATATACTCAGCTTCACATGTTGACGGAGCTACAACAGGCTGTTTCTTGGAACTCCAGGAAATGGGACCTCCCAGAAATTTAAACAAGTATCCAGAGGTACTTCTCCTGTCCACTCTGTCTCCGCACCAGTCAGAATCAGAATAACTTACTAACTCTGATTTTGTCTTTCTTTCAGAAGGAAACAGCACTCCATATTTCAGAGTTCCCTTAATATATCTCAGAATTCTGACAGCAGCTTGAAAATGAGACCACTTGGGATTACTCATGAATCTGCTGACCAATCCAACTGCATAACAAATGTCAGGTCTAGTATTACATAAATACCTTAGAGAGCCAACCAGTTGTTTGAAGGTTGTAGAATCAACAGAATCACCATCAGAGTCAGAATCCAATTTTTGATTGGTTTTTGATGGTGTCACAGCAACTTTGCAGTTCTGCAGCTTAAATCTCTTCAGAAGTTCTTGTTCATATTTTAACTGGTGCAGAATGATACCCTTCTTCGAGTACATAATCTCCATTCCTAGGAAATATGTCATTTTTCCTAGATCTGTCATCTCGAACTCATTCATCAGAACTTCCTTGAACTTCTTTATATCTTCTAGGCAGCTGCCTGTTAGCAAGATGTCATCAACATAGAGACACACCAGAATCATATTGCTATCAGAGTGTTGTACATAAACTCCATATTCCATCTCACACTTCTGAAACCTCTGCTTCTTGAAAAATGAATCAATTTTCAGATTCCAAGCTCTAGGCACTTGCTTTAGTCCATACAGAGCCTTATTTAACCTGTATACCATCCCTTCCTGATTCTTTTTCACAAATCCAAGAGGTTGTGACACGTAAACTTCTTTCTGTAATGGACCGTTCAGAAATGCTGACTTCACATCCAGGTGCATTAAAGGCCAGTTTCTGTTTGCAGCTAAAGCAATCACCAGTCTGATTGTTTCATGCCTAGCTACAGGTGCAAACACCTCAAAATAATCTAGCCCAGGTTTCTGAAGAAAACCTCTAGCTACTAGTCTAGCTTTGTGCTTGCCAATGGAACCATCTAGCTTAAGTTTCAACTTAAAAACCCATCTGACGCTGATGGCTTTTTTCTTATCTGGAAGTTTAGTCAATTTCCAAGTTTTGTTCCTTTCTATTGCCTCAAGTTCTTCTTTCATGGCATTAAGCCATTCTTTCTTCTTGAGAGCTTCTTCAATGCCTACTGGTTCAGAATCTACTAACATGGCACACTGAACAACTTCTCCTTCAGAGTCAACGTCATTATCCTGCAGCATGTCAAAATCTGGAAACCTTCTGGGTTTTTGTCTGATTCTCTGTGGTCTTTGAGCTTGTTCTGAAGCTGCACCAGAACTACTACTTTCAGAGTTACCACCTTCAGAGTTTTCCCTTCCAGAACTATGATTACCACCAGATTCTGGATCATCATCAGTATCTGGATCATCTTCTTCTAACTCATCTTCAGGATCTTCAGAATCAGATTCATCTTCTGATCTTTCTAAAACATCTTCAGAGAATAACTCTGGTGTTGGCACTACACCAGAATCAGATTGAGATTTGTTCCAATCCCATGCTTCAGACTCTTTCACCACAACGTCTCTGCTGACTTCAACTTTATTAGTTTCTGGACAATAAAGCTTATACGCACCTGTACTATGGTACCCCACCAGCAACATTATTTTGCTTCTATCATCCAGTTTTTGTCTTCTAGCTTCTGGAACGTGTTTGTAACAGACAGAGCCAAACACCTTCAAATGACTGACACTCTGCTTATCTCCAGTCCATTTCTCTAAAGGAACAGCTTCCTTCAGTTTCTTCATTGGACACCTGTTCAGAATGTATGCTGATGTGGCAACAACTTCTCCCTATAGCACGTGAGGTAGCTTTTTCTCTTTCAGCATGCTTCTGGTCATATCAAGCAGAGTTCTGTTTCTTCTTTCAGCAAGACCGTTGTGCTGAGGAGTATATGGAGCAGTAACCTCATGTTCTATTCCACTTTCCTCACAAAACTTCTGAAACACTGCAGAGTTATACTCACCTCCACCATCTGTTCTCAGAATTTTTAACTTCTGACCACTCTGCTTCTCAGCCTTCACCTTGAATTTTTGGAACTCAGTAAACACTTCATGCTTGAATTTGATAAGTGTTACCCATGTCATTATTGTGAACTCATCCACAAAAGACACAAAGTAATTGTTTCCTCCAAGTGAAGGTACTGGAAATGGTCCACACACATCAGAATGTACTACTCCCAGAGCATGTTTCGCTCTGGGGGCTACTTCTGATGTAAATGGCAATCTAGGTTGCTTACCTTTCATGCATATCTCACATGACTTCTCAGGCTTCACAATTTTCGAAATACCATGTACGAGCTTCTTAGAACATAGATGCCCTAAGCTTCTATAGTTTAAGTGCCCTAACCTCTTATGCCACAACTTACTGTTACTTTCAGCACCTTCTGTACTAAGGCACGTTGCTTCAGCTGTTTCTACATTCACCTTGAATATTTTGTTGCCTCCTTGTTCAGATTTCATAATTAACTTTTGATTGA